CTGAGTATTCAGTGAAAGGAAGCGTCATATGTTTCTCACTTTAATTTAAAATCTAGAAAGCTTATTGAGGCAGGTATACCAAGAAAACAGAGGCTGACACAAGAGGATTACTTGAGCCCAGAAGTTTGAGGTTGCAGTGAACTATGATCAGGCCTCTGTGCTCTATCTAGCCTGGATACTCTGTCTCTTAAAAAAAAAAAAAGCTAGGCCTTTTATGCCAAACAGCCAAATTGTGAATGCAAAGAGAGAGTCTTTTTTTTCTTTTTAAATAAACAGAATCAACTTTTATTTTGATCTAATTGTATGTAATGAACTCAGAAGATCATGGCCTCCTGCCCAATGTGGACCCCCTATTCTCCATGAACTCTTGGCTGTAAGCACAAAGAAGGGAGAAAAAACAGACATGTGCCTAGCCCAGGACGATTTCCAGCCCAGTGCCTTGAAATGTCCTCTTTTTACTCCATTTTTTTTGTTTTTACAAAAGTTTATTCAAAGAAAAAAAATTCTTGAAGGAAAGCTTTAAAGTGCTATACTTAAAAGTGCTACTCCAATGACACATGAGTGATAAGAAAGAGAAACAACCTTATTGCTGATACAGAGAAAATTTGAGTGGTCTGGATAGAAGTTCAAACCAGCCACAACATTCCCTTCCAGGGGTCCTCAAACTTTTTAAACAGTTCACTGTCCCTCAGACCACTGGAGGGCCAGACTGCGGGCCCCAGGACGAGTCAGCTGCTAAGCAGGACAGGCAGCGGTGGCAAAAACACCTGGCGAGCTGGATAAATGTCCTCAGTGGGCTGCATGTGGCCCATGGGCCATAGTTTGAGAACGTCTGCCAAATTAGCCTATTCCAGACTAAGCTCCCAACTCTCTTAAATTTTATGAAGGCTAAGAAAGGTGAGGAAGTTGCAGAAGAAAAGTTGGAAGCTAGTGGAGGTTGGTTCATGAGGTTTAAGAAAAGAAGGCATGGCTTGGCGCCTGTGGCTCAAGCAGCTAAGGCGCCAGCCACATACGCCTAAGGTGGCAGGTTTGAATCCAGCCCGGGCCGGCCAAACAACAATGATGGCTGCAACCAGAAAAAATAGCAAGGCGTTGTGGCGGGCGCC